GAAAAATAGCTGCAACCATTGAAAATGATGTAAAACCGAAACGTCAGAAAGCAAATAACAGAAGTGTTTTTAGTGTGTTTTTTCATCTGGAAATAAAGCTCTCAATAACACAGAAGTAGAATAGTTTAGATGGTTAGATAAAACAGAACAGTCTATTGGTTTGTGAGTTAAGTTATCTATAACACGGCTAATAGACTATGTTATCTAATGCTGAAATCTAAATTATAATGTAAAATGGTGACGAAAAATAAACATCGTTCTTACATAGTAGTACAAGGCTTTCTATTTGTATGTAATCCGGTTAACAATTATAAAATTACTGCATCTATTTAGTAATATAGCGTTTCTCTATTTCTGAATGACCTAGCCAAGAATAATAAAATTACCATAACTATACTTTCTTGTACAGCATTGCATAATTCTATATACCCCGGTAAAAATGATAAACAACGTTAAAAATGAAGTCCCAGCATATTAATTAGGTGTTTCTCCACTTCTGTATAACCTTGTCAAGAACGATAAAATTGCCGATAAAATAGGTATTTACGAATTCAGTGTTTCTCCACTTCTGTATAACCTTGTCAAGAACGATAAAATTGCCGTACATATTTACGAATTCGGTGATTTGCCACTTCTGTATAACCTTGTCAAGCACGATAAAATTGCCGATAAAATAGGTATTTACGAATTCGGTGATTTGCCACTTCTGTATAACCTTGTCAAGCACGATAAAATTGCCGATAAAATAGGTATTTACGAATTCAGTGTTTCTCCACTTCTGTATAATCTTGTCAAGAACGATAAAATTGCCGTACATATTTACGAATTCGGTGATTGCCACATCTGTATAACCTTGTCAAGCACGATAAAATTGCCGATAAAATAGGTATTTACGAATTCAGTGTTTCTCCACCTCTGTATAACCTTGTCAAGAACGATAAAATTGCCTTACCTATTTACGAATTCAGTGTTTCTCCACTTCTGTATAACCTGGTCAGGAACGATAAAATTGCCGTACCTCTTTACGAATTCAGTGTTTCTCCACTTTTGTATAACCTTGTCAAGAACGATAAAATTGCCGTACCTATTTACGAATTCAGTGTTTCTCCACTTCTGTATAACCTGGTCAAGAGCGATAAAATTACAGTACTTTGGTGCACTTGTGTGTATAATCGATTAAAGAATGATAAATATATCGTACCAACGTCCTAATCGAGTGATTATCTGCTTCTATGTAACCTGGTCAAGAGCGATAAAATTACAGTACTTTGGTGCACTTGTGTATAATCGATTAAAGAATGATAAATATATCGTACCAACGTCCTAATCGAGTGGTTATCTGCTTCTATGTAACCTGGTCAAAAATGATAAAATTGTATAACCTCATATATTTTCTTCTCCTCATAACAATTGAAAAATTCCTCAAGTTGGATGTAGATTTAACGCTCCAAAATCATGTTAGAATTAGTCGTGGTCTAGTGGCTAGCATGCTAACTTATTGGTAAAAGGGTCTATTTTTCGAGTCTCCTTGACGCAAAGAAATGCGCTTCTCACTTGGGACTGTGGATACGTTATATGAGTGATGGGCAAATCCTACTATTTGATTAGAGTGACCAAATAGATAGACATTGTCACTATTAATTAGCCGCCTTCTTTCCAGTTTAACAGCTCAAAATTAATGACGACTAGCGTACATAGTCCTTATTTAGCTATGAGTGAATATCGTAAGTAAACAAACAAAATTATAGTTGCTATTTATCTATCTAAAACAGTTGCAATCTGTATACTTCCCTTAGGACCCTGTACATTTACCAAGCGGAAAATAACATTTACTTAATATTAGTTCCACACACATATCACATTCGATCAAATAAACGATCATTCATGCATATTGAACTGTGATGTTAATACTTGTGACCGAAAATCTAGCGAGTTTCTAAGCATTTGTTACAATCATGACTAAAATGTTCTACATAACATTACCTAGCTATTAAATCTGATAATTTCAAATCTTCATTTGGAAAATAATACTTAGTTATTAATTAAAGAGCTTAATTCAAATGACAAACGACAACTTGATTTCCGACATCCCTATTTACCATTTAATAAAACCTAAACCAGTGGAACGGAATTGGAGAAATCTGTATACATCCTACGCAATTATGATAAACATTGTTCTAAAAAGAAGCATAATGCAAACACAGAGAAAAACATATATAAAAGCTATACGAGTTTATTTTCTTCCACAATACAAATTAAGAAGGTTCAGAGATATATAAGAACAATACGGAAGTAAAACTAGTGCAAAATTGGAAGCAGCTTCTCCTATAATGCGGGGAATAAAACTGAAAGATAATTTCCTTTTCCAATTTCCGGTTTGTCGTATTCATCCAGTGTTATGGATCGTAACCTACACAAATAAACTGTTACTTCACTATTTAGATAGGTATTAATACACGACAGGTATTTTTGAATCATTTCTTTTTTCTTTTAATGCAGTAACTAGGATTTAATAGATTTAGCGACGTAAGGTTTATTGTACTTTTAATTATTTTCATAGGTGAGATAATTAAAAAATAGCATTGCATTACTTGTTTGATTTTTTATAAACCGGATTATATCTTAGAAACACAATAAATACGGTTATTTGTGGTTTGTACTGTTCGAGCAAAATGTCAGGTCGTGATTTTATGTTACTTTTTATTAACTCGTACATTTTCTTGAACTTCTCTCATGCTCATTACAGAACATGAACAATGACATGCAGTTAAGGATTGGGAAGTACAGTATCAGAAAGTGTCTGAATTGGCACATTGTTATCTTATTCCACTTAGTTTACCTGAGCTAACTTACAGTTTTCGAAATAAAAAGCCTTTCAAATGATGCATTCTCATCATTGTAGTGGTACTACACCCACTTATAACACTTACTTTTCTAGCAGAAAGTTCATGAGTGATATTACGGATATTTATTGTATTAGCTGGCGTACTTTTTCAATGTACGAGGAAGACAGAGATTCTTGTTTAATGGTTGTGTAGCACTCGAACGAGTAAAAATGATGTGTCAAAACATATAAATATATATTCATCTACACAAAAAACAATAAAACTTAAATCCAAGCGTTTTTCAAATACTATTTTAAAACATATAATAGAGAGGTAATTACTATAGTGAAAGTGACCTAAAGAATCATTAAACAATTTAAAAATATATCACAGTTATAAGTCATCGTTTTGTTTCTTTGTTATTAAGCACAAACTACACAATGGATTATCTGTGATGTACCCACCACGAATAGAGAAACACGTTTTTCTGTGTTATAAGCCACAGAGTTGCTGCTTTGCCAGTGCGAGCATAAATAATCGAGAAGAAAAGAAAATAAGGAATCGATGTAAAATATAATTAATTTCACAAAAATACTTGTTAAATACTCTGTTTTACTTCTAAATAAATTTAAATATTCATTGACAATATATATATATATATATATATGTAGCAAAATATGAAGTGTTTTCCGTTAATATTGACTGTCTATGCACAAATTAGATGATCTAAAAGGAACTGTCACACAATCCCAACCTAATTAGAACTTTTTTTCATATTAGTAATAAATGACCGTTACGGTTTGTGTTTTAGTGAATAAGCTATAAAACGGAACGTTAAGTGTCCAATTAAAGAAGAAAAATAACAAATTTGGTGTTCTAAAGTCGTTTATTACCAGCATTAAAATGACATTTATACTTCAATATGCACTACACGAATTAAATTTATGAAACTAAATTGTATTTTTTTTAAAAACATAAAACTATACTTAAAAAACACCATACGAGAAAAAAATATATAAATTTTTAAAGCTCCTTCTGTCATCATGTTTTTTTTATATTTTTTTATTAAAAAACATGAAAAAACCTATATTCCCAGAGATTTAAGACTTAAGATTATACAACGTTATTCGGAAATAAACATTTTGTTAAGTTTACATATCTTGTGGAAGAACAAATGTGTTCACTTTGTAACAGTCCTAAATATGCAAATATTCTACAAAGGTGATTCAGAACATTTCTAGAGTTTGCTCTTACACCATATAAAAATGTAAACAAATTCAATGCTTTTCTTCCAACGCTCAGTCGTTCAAGAACAGAAAATTCGACTCCATTAAACTTTAGTGTTAGTAAATCATCTAAAGTCACCTTTAAACTGAACTACATTCATATGATATCAATGCCAGTAATGTATGTAGTTGGAATTAGTAAGTAATAGAACGTTTTATGGAGAGACCTAAGAATATATTTTAGGCGAGCCCACATTCACGAAAATATTAAATTGAATGTAATATATGTTTTGTTTGTTTGTTGTTAAGCACAAAGGTACACAATAGGTTCTCTGTGCTTAGCCCAGCTTGGATAAGGAAACCTGATTTTTCATCGTTATACGGTCGCAGACTTACCGCTGGTCCGTCGGTTGGGTGTAATATAGGTAACCAGCAAATAAAAATTCATTCTTGATAATATTATGGGTATTTGTAAGAATAACCAACAGATGGTATTATTTTCTTTCTCGTACAAGACTGATAGTGTTTTATATACCGGTTGCAATGATAACTAATGGTGGCGTGAATAGCCTGATCCGCATAGCAATTAAACCCGTTGCTACAGAATAAAACACTCTTACGTTTATTTTATAGTAAAAATCTTTATTAACACGACAAAAACTGTATATCACTATATCTAATGTAACTGACTTTCAATAAATAATGTTAAGTATGAGTAATAACAATATCCAGGGTATGTATACACGTTGTAACTGAAGGGAATATATAGGACCATTTAGACACTCGACTGAAGGCACTGATCACGCGAACAGAAACAGATATTTATTAAAGATTCTCATTAGTTATCCTCAGTTTTTCTGTATAGAAAGATAATAAAACGTCGTCATAAAACAGAGTAACGGAGGACATTTAGCTGCTAGTACCAAGCGTGAACAGAAGCATAGCTTACCTTTGGTAATATTTATGAAGATATTCAATTGTCCTTCTGATAGCTGGACGATCCTATCTGCCCAAATATGTTGTGATGGTTTCTTCGAATGTTTTGATAATACAAAAATAGTGGGGAAGACAACGATTACAGGGAATAGGTTGGAAATAATTACTTAATGTTCTCAGATATTATGAATAATGTCAAATATACGTAGGGCGTTCTGTTTCTGCAATGGTAACGTGAAAATAGCGGTTCCACCTAGCAGTTATCAGAAAACGTTCAAGTCTGTGTCTCTCGGTCTCTCTTCACTCTTCGTGTGCAGTTACCAATAGAACGACCCAAGAGACTCTCCTATTCTCGCTGTACTCTGCGCAGGCGACTGAGATAGACCACTGAGATGCAATCCAAACTGATAGAGAAACACGTGAACTAGAAAAACACCTATCGTTCACCATTTAGAAAGTCACGTGGTTTTTACTAAATTCAACAGATAACCTTTCTATCATTTTTAGTCCTTTGTTAGTTGTCAATTTTATTTTCCATTTCTTAAACTATATTTTTCATTCTGATCTTTTCTTATGCCAATGTTTTCTCGACTTCGTAATTACTATAGTTTTCAAATAGCCATCTTCATTACCAAAAATATTGGCTCATTTCTCACCTTTTCGTAGCTCATCGTGAAGCTAATCTGTTTTCAGTTAATAAATGTGTTTCTTTCTTATCAAAGTGATTTGTAGGATTTATCTAAACTGTTGCTGCACTACTTCATAATTTATGTTAAGCATTCAGTAATCGACCTTGTCACTAATCATACGAATTTCTTAATGAGTGTTTGTACATCTTACATGTCTGTAAGATTTTCCTTGTACATGTAAATTAATATTTCTATTACTAATGAAATTAACCTGTGTAATTAAACTTTCAAATATTTTATTTTCCTTTAAGTTTAACAGTCCTTGGAAAGTTAGAACTGCTAGACCTGAAAGCAAAAAAAAAAAATATATTTCTATCACAAAATGCATGTCAACTAATCTAACATACCAAACATGTCTGTTTAACATATTCCTGATATTCGAGATGAACTTTCAAAAAGAATATAGAAAGTTATTTTCAGCAGCAATGCAACTAAACAAATGAAAATTGTAGCTTTTGATTATAGGCTTTCTTGTTACCCTATCAAGATCAGTGGCAGAGAATGTCACATTAGACCAACATTGTAGCTTCCTGTACAGAGTATTTTTTAGTGTAGTTTATATTCAAATACAAAAATGAAACCGTTTACAAGCTCAAATAATGCTTTACAACTAACATGAGTGTCAACTGGTTAGCTTTACAATTCACAAGAGTGTCACTTCTACATTTCTTGTCTTTTATGCAATTTCTATGTCTAGCTTTAAAATACATAGAAAAAAATGTATCCCAAAGAAGGATATCAAATCTAAATGAAATATACAACTAGTATCACTAAAGATGTACTGGCCGATTTATTTCTGCCACTGCTTCTGTTTTCGAAGTAATATTTAAATAACAGTGGAGAGAAACAGAGTAAAAAAGTCAAGAGTGTGAAGCAGCAACTAGTCAACTGTTTGATGACTCTTATCTTAGCATCAGTATTCAGATTTCAATTTGCGTCCAAAGTTATTTATATTTTACTCATAAAAGCATAAACAAGATTATCCACAAGTAACAGGCATTTCAAGTTTTAGTATAAAACCATTTCTTCGACCTGCATTATTTGATAATAAATAATTTTATATATTAAAAAACAATGAAATTAGCTCTTTAAGTACATGTTTTCACTGTGCAACATTTCGGCCCTCTTCAAGTATAAGACAGTATCGTAGACCCCCACTTTTTAATCTGTCCCAATAAAAATGCATCTAAATCAGGAAAATTACTCTCAGGTATGAGAGGTGATTGCATAAAATTTAATCCAGAACCCAAGGTTTTTCAGGGCCCTAAGACGAGCCTTGGACTCCGGCCGTAATTTGCCCCCTACACTTCTGCAAGGTGTTTGTTAACATAGATTGTTAAGTTAATTGAAAAGAGAAATCAACAATATTCGTGTGAGTGAAATATTTTATCCGCCAATCATATTTAGATACGAAACATCTCACTTACTGTTTACTGCATTCCTAGTGGTAAACGTGAAGCCACATATTACGGAGAAACAGCACAGGCTTTTTCTACGAGATTAAAATAATACAAGAATGGTGTCAGATGTAGTCAACAGTATGCCTCTGTCTTAGCAGTTTAAGAAGACAATTTTAAACCAATGCAAGTATAACGACAACTTTGAACTTAAATTCCGTAAATCGTGAAGTATTTGTGAAGTTAACCTCCACATAGACAGGAATAGTTGTAACTATCAAATATCGTGTGCTCATATCATAAAAGAAACTATAGTTTCTTGTAAAAAAACGTTAGTAGGCACTGCATTAAGCACTAGTCAGGTCAAAACGTCTGGCTTCAGTTTAGAACATTTGTTAGTAAACTTCAATTTTATCCATTTTTTTAAAACCACTTTTTAATCTGGCATGTTCATCAAAAACTGCTATAATATTTTAACTACATCGGAATGCTAAAACAAATCGAGCTTTATTTTCTGCTGTTACTTGCGAAACATACACACCTGTTCGTGATATAATCCATGCACATTTTCCTATAAAACATAGATACCGATACTCCATTAAGGACACATTTTAGAAACGATTCCCTCCCGATTGCTCATCGTCAATCTAAGGGCTTATAAGGCTAAAAATCAGGTTTCGATACTCGCAATAGGTAGAACATAGATAGCAAATTGTGCAACTTTTCAATTAACAACAAACAAATAAAAATCCTCCTGAAATCCCACTCACTGCTAAAACACTTTACAGGGATAAATAAGCTATACCAAGTTAAATACTTTACAAAGATAGATAAGCTACATACCAGGTAAAATACTTTACAGGGACACAAAAGCTACACACCAGGTTAAACAATTTACAGGGACAGATAAGCTACACACCAGGTAAAACACTTTACAGGGACAGATAAGCCACACACCATGTAAAATACTTTACAGGGACAGATTAGCTACACACAAGGTAAAACACTTTACAGGGACAGATAAGCTACACACCAGGTAAAACACTTTACAGGGACAGATAAGCTACACACCAGGTAAAACACTTTACAGGGACAGATAAGCTACACACCAAGCAGTTGCAGAATATTTAATTTAGGATCCATAACCCATGTTTTAATGTGCAACAGATACTATGGCTGATAATCAACGTTGAGGGGACTTACTCATCATAAATAATGTAATCGCGAGTGGAGCATGTTATCCTTTGACCACGTACTATATGTGTTTATATGTATATATATGTATGCATCTCTGTGTGTGTGTGTGTGTGTATGTATGTATGCAGGTGTGTGCAAAAAATGTTCCTAATTTCCTGAAATCTATTACATAGTTTGTTTTCTACAAAGGACACTCTATATATATATATGTACATTATGCATACAGCTTAATGTGTCTTCACGAGGATTTACTGTTTTAGTCACATTATTTATTCCCGTTTTTATTAGCCAAACAGTCTGGAGTGATCAAAAGGTTGCACAACAAAAAATACACTTTTAAGATTATTGGCATTGCTTTTAAGTTTGTACAAGGAGTGCTGTTCGAAGAAAACTGTCATCTGTAAACGATATTATTTCATAAGTTCAAGTTTGAAATTTTGTTTTTCTAAATTTATATTTAAAAGTACTTTACGTTTAGTAATATCAAACATAAAGAAAATTTATCTTTTCGGATAATTCAAAGATTCCTTAACACGCCTACTTGTTTAGGCGGAGAGCTATTTTTCCATTCAAATAACTAGTGTCAAGCACGTTAGCTTTTCAACCGTACAGGTTTTATAATATAACCATCAATCTCACAGAGTTAGCGGTGAGTGTTTTCCGCCAGTTACTTTCTCTCTGGTCAGCAATTCAAAACCAGAAAGGCGACAAATAGCCTTACAAACTTTGCCGTAAATAAAACACATAGACAAACCATTCAGACTTTATACATAAGCAATATAGTAGTTTAGTTCTCAGATGGTAGGCCTAATCGAATTCAGTTGTTTGTTGTTGTTGTTTATTTGTTTTCAGTATATCAAAGTTATTACATTCTGACATTCCAAATAATTACTAAAAACGTAGCTACATTACAAAAAACGAACAATTTCCTTACCAAAAGGTCGAAAATGTCTATTTGGATTTTATTTTATATAAAAAATGTGAATTGCACTTTTCTTTTTCCTTTCCATCTTTTTACTTGTCACCCAATGGGTCAGTGGTAAGTTTACGGACTGGAGTTCGATTCCCTTCGGTGGGAAGAGTGTTGATGGCTCATTGTATACCTTTCACTAAGAAAACATGTTCCGATTGCCAAAGCAGGAAATTTAGTTGGTTCTATGACATGTATCACATGAAAGAAAGAAGTAACTCCTCAACTAATTCTTGTATACAGTTCATTAAAGGACATTTTAGCACTCGAAGCTAACATTAAACATATCAAGTAAAAAACATCATTTTATATGGAATTTGTTTCAAGTGGACAACAGTGAAGTGGTTTTTAATGTAACATGTAGTGAATGTTAACATATTGAATATGAATAAGATATGTTAATGTATTCTTTTAGATATCGTATCTTCTGGTGAATAAGGACATTAATTACATAATTAATGTCACACACTTTACATATTTAATGGTTATGGAGCTCATAACTACAACACAAAATAAATTTTCCTGAAGGAAGCACATTTTGTTTAATACATAATATTTGTCTTCTTGTGACGTATTGCTTCCAGAGAAGTGTTATGAAAGTAATATTTTCAGACAACACGCTGATGGTGTGTTAAGACTTAAAGCTGCTCCAGCTAAATAATATTAGCTGCTCAAGCTTCTTAGAAAAATTATATACATAATAATTTGAATATGTATATATATATATATATATATATACATATATATGAATGCAACCACACTCTGCAAAATAAATCATAAAGTGAGGACCTTCTAAATATTTTATTTAATATGATTTGTCTCTAAATGGGCATATACTTGCATACTGTTTATTCACTTTCATTGTTAATTATGAAAACTAACGAAACAATAAAATATTTTTATAACAAGTTAAACATTGTAAGTGTCATTTCTTCGATGATGTATGCTTACTAAGTTGGAGAAGTATGATAAAAGGTGCGATGTCTGCCTATTGATAATTCTAATGATATCATTACTTGTTGTTCCAGTATATATCTTCGGTAAGAAGA